CCCCCCCCCAATGATGGCAGCTCTGTTAAAGGGTGCATTTTTCTGCGGACATAGCGTCCCCACCCAGTGTTGCACTGGCCTGGCTGCATTATTCAGGCAGGGATGTTTGGAGGTTCCCCCCCCACACACACACACTTCTTGTGCAGGTAGCTAAGTCAGTATCACGTCCCAGGCCCCCATTACAAATGTTGGCTCCCTGACCACCCCCAGTGTTGCACTGGCCTGGCTGCATTATTCAGGCAGGGATGTTTGGAGGTTCCCCCCCCACACACACACACTTCTTGTGCAGGTAGCTAAGTCAGTATCACGTCCCAGGCCCCCATTACAAATGTTGGCTCCCTGAACGATGTCACTCAAGGCTGTACAAAATGTCATGCCCCGGGGCAATGTCCTTAAACCAACCTAAGCTTCTTAGGCAAACAAACAAAACAAACGCACACACACCGAAAACATGCTACAGTGTGAAACGGGAGTTCATGTGCAATTTTGACACCGTAACAGTTGCCTCGTTGCAATAAATAATTCCCCCTTCCGGGACTCTCACCTTCTCATTGCTGTTAGAAGTGGACCATATCCACCCTGATTTAATTAGCCCTGATGTTACTCTCCTATCTCTGTATCCCTGCCTGCCTTTCCCTTCAAGTATCTGAGGAAGTGATGTTATTAACTGATGTTATTCTGAAATAACTTAGTCCACATCTATACTGCAGGCAGTTATTTTGACATAATGTCAAAATAATGTTAAGCTGTAGGATTGCTTACTCCAACGCCTGTAACCCTCATTTTAGGAAGAGTAAGGAAAGTCAAAGGCAGTGCTGTGTAGACAAGACTTAAGCTCTGCAATTGACATAGCTGAAGTTGTGTAGATTATTTTGGCTTTAGCCCTGCTGTATAGACATGCCCTAAGGTGACACAGGACTACTTATTGATTACAATAATTAATCCCTAATAGGATTGAGAGTGAATATTAAAAGAGTGGTCTAATATTGCATTTTATGTCCTAGGAGTGCAGTTGGAAATATCTTCCTGTCTTCAGCATTGTTTTTCCTTTTTTCCTTAGGGTGATCACTCTTTTCCTCCTTTAAATTTTGTTAATTTCTCAGAGCTGCTACAGAATAATGTAAAAATCCCTATATGGACAAGTAATTTAGTTTAAACTTGTCTTACAGTGTCTTACACACAAGGCTTTGTCCCTTTAAGCTGAACCATTTATTATTATTTGCAGAGCTGTGCAGTAGTTAGAAAAGTGTTTTCATTCCAAAATGGGATGTAAATTTCACACTCTAAATTTTCCATCCATCAAAACATTTTGAACCAATAGAAATGTTTCAATTTCAGCTGTATTTCTTAATATAACTTAGATCAGAATCTGAGATTTTGAAACAAAAAATGATTTCAAAATCAAAAATTGAAATAAAACATGGCCTTGTCCAAAAGAATCATTTTGATTTTTTTCCTAATTTTTTTTCCTTGAAATTGACATGTTCCTGCAGCACAGTTTGATTTTTACTGAATCAATATGATCAGAAGGAAAATTCTCCCATTGAAAATTTTCCATCTGCTCTGATTACTTGTATAATAATAGCCTCATAAGCCTAAATCATAGACCAACCATCAAATAAACAAGTGCAGACCCTTTTGTGGGCTGCTGTTTCACTTTATAGCACAATGGTTTAAAGCGCAAATGAATAACTCGTTTGCAATTATTTTTTTAATATATTCTGCAATGCCATCTGTGGACAAGGCCTTCCTCTGCTGTAACAGTAGATAAATTGCACCAAAGCAGCAGGTTTCGGAGGGATTTGCAAATGTAGCTGGACTAGTGCAAATAAAATATCTCTAACATAGACAGGGCCTTATTCTGGAGGTGATAGCTGTGACGCTAGTTCTTGGTCTTAGCTTTAAATTGTGGTAAGTTGAAGGCTGTTGAGCAGAACAGCCTGAGAACAGCGAGAGGGAGATCGCTATGTGACATGCCAGATGTGACTTCCACAAGCTACTGTTAAAGTAGCATCCAGAGACAGGGCACAACAAGATCTGTCCAGGACTGGTTGGGGTTCGAACCCTCCTCCAGAACACAGGGCACTGGATGCAGAGTACACTTTTTCCCCACCCCCGTAGCCTCTGGTCCCTCCTTAGGCAGGGTATCTCCGTGGCACAGATGTTGTGCAAAGATTTGTGTGCTCTGAACCTTGCTCGCAGCTGCCCTGGCTCAGCAGAGAGTTGCTGAGTGAGATCAGGCCCTGAAGTTCCTCCGCACCTACAGGGCTGTTCAACTCAGAATCATAAACACTAGAACTGGAAGGGACCTCAAGAAGTCATCAAGTTCAGCCCCCTGCCCTCATGGCAGGACCCAGTATCGTCTAGACTATCTCTGATAGATGTCTATCCAACCTGTTCTTAAATATCTCCAGAGATGAAGATTCCACAACCTCCCTGGGCAATTTATTCCACTGTTTAACCACCCTGACAGGCAGGAAGTTTTTCCTACTGTGCAACCTAAACCTCCCTTGCTGCAGTTTAAGCCCATTGCTTCTTATATCAGAGGCCAAGGAGAACAATTTTTCTCCCTCCTCCTTGCAACACCCTTTTAGATACTTGAAAACTGCTATCATGTCTTCTGCTTTCCAAACTAAACAAGCCCAATTCTTTCAGTCTTCCTTCATAGCTCATGTTCTCTAGACCTTTCATCATTCTTGTTGCTCTTCTCTGGGCGTTCTCCAGTTTCTACATCTTTCTTGAAACGTAGTCCCCAAAACTGGACACAACATTGTCACAAGAGGGCGCTGTGATCTGGTTGATGAAACCGTATCAGCATTTGGTTCAGCATTCACAGAACAAAAGAGTCTTCCACAGTATCTTAAACATCCCTCTAACAAGTTTCATTGCACACAATTCAGGAGCAGTTTTAAAAACACTATATGTGTATGTATATTTAATACTAAGCAATTAAAACAGCATTAAAAGACATTAAAAGGCATTACAAGCATTAAAAGGCATTACAAAGAATGTTTAAATGGAATAGTTAACAGTCTAAATCTAATCCTTAACCCAATTTAGCTGCCTAATTCTTAATCCAATTTAACACATTCACACACACACCCTCTAGAGCTGGCCAGACCCCAGGTAATGTTGGTTAATTTGGCTGAGATGGAAGTCTGATGTGCACGTCACCCCAATATGCCGAATTGTTGGACTCCAACTCGTGGGGAAAAATGGTGTGGTATATATCCCCTCGGCAGGGGCCAGTCCGGTGAGATGCCATTTACTGGCGGCACACAGTCCAGGTGGGGTGATGTCTGTTAGTGACAACCCCTTCTTCTTACTGGTGTGTCCACGAGTGATCCAGAAGACCGGGTGTCTTTTCACCACCCCGTTTTGCTAACCTTACCACGAGTAAGAAACAATGGTTTGTTTCGGTTACATTCTTCCCTTGTTACTTGTTTTTATCTGGAAATGCTGCCTCAGCCACATACACAGTTCTTCTCTTTCATCCAGTCCTTTTTCTTAAAGTTGTAAACAAGACCATAATCCTTCAGGACTCTTGCCTGGACCTCAGCATGGCCTCTCTTCAGTTTATTTACTGTTGATTCAGGAAGGATGTGGATGCGTTGGAGAGGGTCCAGCGGAGGGCAACCAAAATGATTAGGGGGCTGGAGCCTATGACCTACGAGGAGAGGCTGACGGAGGTGGGGCTATTTCAATGGTCCCCAACGTGGTGCCCGCAGGCGCCATGGCACCCGCCGGGGCATTTATGTGCGCCCACCGAAACATCTGGGCTGGCCCCGGTCCCTGTGCGTGGCACATGCGTGGTGCCGGTCCTGGGCTCAGGGCGCATGGGCGGCCCATTCCCTAGGCGCGTGGCGCATGCGTGGCACCACTCCTGGAAGCACAGCATGTGAATGGCTCTGCCCCTGGACACCCGGCAGCCACGAAAGGTTGGGGACCACTGGTCTATTTAGTCTGCAGAAGAGAAGAGCGAGGGGGGATTTGAGAGCAGCCTTCAACTTCCTGAAGGGAGGTTCTAAAGAGGATGGAGAGAGGCTGTTCTCAGTGGGGACAGATGGCAGAACAAGGAGCAATGGGCTCAAGTTGTGGTGGGAGAGGTCCAGGTTGGATATTAGGAAAAACTATTTCCCTAGCAGAGTGGTGAAGCACTGGAATGGGTTCCCTAGGGAAGTAGTGGAGTCTCCATCCCTAGAGGTGTTTAAGTCTTGGCTTGACAAAGCCCTGACTGGGTTGATTTAATGGGGATTGGTCCTGCCTTGGGCAGGTGGCTGGACTTGATGGCTTTCTCAGGTCTCTTCCAGCTCTATGGTTCTATGATTCACTCATGCTAACCATTCATGATTCATGACAATACGCCTAATCAGCACAGAGTGGAGCGGAAGAGTGACTTCTCCTGTCTGACTCACAACGCTCCCGTGAATGCCTCCCAGAATCATGTTTGCTTTTTTTTGCAACTGCATCACACTCTTGCGGGAGGGGGAGACCAAGGCAGCAGTTGCTCCAGGACCCAGCAATTCGAAAAAACAGCAGCTGCACAGAGCCCGGAGCCTTTTGCATCGTCGCTGGAGCACCTCACCATGTGTTCCGGGCGGCTTTGATGCCTGGAAGGTGGTCCTGAGTTTTGAGTTGCCCCAGCGGTCAGAGGTACTGTCAAAACAGTTTGCTTCAACTCTTAAATCTTGCTTTTCAGGTCTTCAGATCACTGACGTGTGTCTTCTAAACACAGCGTCGGCCTGACAGAGAGCTGACCAGAGCACAGTATTCATAGGCTATGGGTCTCGGTCAGAGAAGACCCTGGGATAATTCCACCGAGGAGCATCTTAATCGCAATGGAGATCAAGAGCAGACAGGAAAACCAGGTAAACAGCTGGTCGGGTAAAGACTGGAGGGAGAGGCAAATTGAAGACCCATCTCTACCAAGAAAATAACTATGGTGAGACAGAAACCTGAAACATAAAAAATGGCTGACGTTGGAGAATCATAGCACCAGAGAGCTGGAAGAGAGCTCAGGAGGTCATCAAGTCCAGCAGTGGAGATCAAGAGCAGACAGGAAAACCAGGTAAACAGCTGGTCGGGTAAAGACTGGAGGGAGAGGCAAATTGAAGACCCATCTCTACCAAGAAAATAACTATGGTGAGACAGAAACCTGAAACATAAAAAATGGCTGACGTTGGAGAATCATAGCACCAGAGAGCTGGAAGAGAGCTCAGGAGGTCATCAAGTCCAGCAGCCAATTCATTCCCCCCGCCACTCCCCCGACCGCCTCCCGGCCAGCTGGTTTTCCCCCACTTCTCCCCCCGATCTTCCTCAGCCCGCCCCGCCAGTCCCGCCTCCCGAGG